CACTAACACACACACACACACCACATATATCACACACACTAACACACACACACACACCACATATATCACACACACTAACACACACACACCACATATATCACACACACTAACACACACACACACATATATATGTGATTAAAAGTTTGTCAGAGATTAACTCAGTCGATGCCAAGCGTGATCTTGTTGTGAGGATTATAAATCAGAGGATTCATGGTTCGAGGACAATTGTCGCAAAAACTCGCTTCGGAGCCGTGAGTTCGCTATATAAAAATGACTGTCATTTATCACTTTTCTGTGAGGTAAGCGTAGCCCAACAGTTGGCGTTTGGTGCTGTTGACTATCTTTCCTCAATCTAGTCTATAGGCTTAATACAGGGACAGCTCCCTTTCTGTATCTTTGCGTGGAAATTGTGAAACGGGCAAATATACACTTTAGTTGTAGGAGCGAAAGGCTAGAGAAAATATTCCTTAGCTGTAGGAGCTTAATGAAAGGTTAGGGCAAATATATCTTAGTTGTAGGAGCTTAATGAAAGGTTAGGGCAAATATATCTTAATTGTAGGAGCTTAATGAAAGGTTAGGGCAAATATATCTTAGTTGTAGGAGCTTAATGAAAGGTTAGGGCAAATATACCTTAGTTGTAGGAGCTTAATGAAAGGTTAGGGCAAATATACCTTTAGTTGAAGGAGCTTAATGTAAGGTTAGGGAAAATATACCTTAGTTGTGTGAGCTTAATGAAAGATTAAGGAACATATACTTTAGTTGTAAGAGCTTAATGAAAGGTTAGGGCAAATAAACCTTAGTTGTAGGAGCTTAATGAAAGGTTAGAGCAAATATACCTTGGTTGTAGGAGCTTAATGAAAGGTTAGGGCAAATATACCTTTAGTTGTAGGAGCTTAATGTAAGGTTAGGGAAAATATACTTTAGTTGTAGGAGCTTAATGAAAGGTCAGGGCAAATATATGTTAGTTGTAGGAGCTTAATGAAAGGTTAGGGCAAATATACCTTAGTTGTAGGAACTTAATGAAAGGTTAGACAAATATATCTTAGTTGTAGGAGCTTAATGAAAGGTTAGTGTAAATATACCTTAGTTGTAGGACCTTAATGAAAGATTAGAGCAAATATACCTTAGTTGTAGGAACTTAATGAAAGGCTAGTGTAAATATACCTTAGTTGTAGGAGCCTACAACTAAGGTATATTTGTTCTAACCTTTCATTAAGTTCCTACAACTAAGGTATATTTACACTAACCTTTCATTAAGTTCCTACAACTAAGGTATATTTGCTCTAACCTTTCATTAAGCTCCTACAACTAAGGTATATTTACACTAACCTTTCATTAAGAGCATAATGAAAGGTTAGTGTAAATATACCTTAGTTGTAGGAGCTTAATGAAAGGTCAGGGCAAATATATCTTAGTTGTAGGAGCTTAATGAAAGGTTAGTGCAAATATACCTTAGTTGTAGGAGCTTAATGAAAGGTTAGTGTAAATATATCTTAGAAGTAGGAGCTTAATGAAAGGTTAGTGCAATTAAAAGGTGGTTTATGTGTATACATTTCTTCCACGAACATAAGTTGAATTTGTTATCGTAAAAACGTATTTTACAGTTTAAGACTTTCATATCTTGTAGGTTATTAGACAAATATTTAATTTCAATCACTGTCCTTTCTAATTACTGTTTTATGATTATGAATTGGAAAATGAAAACCAGTAACTGTTTCGAATATTATAAAAAAGCAACCATATACAGCTTATAAAAATTCACTTATTTTATTACTTTTTAGTACTCGGTATTTTCAACTTAAATGACACCTTATGCTACACATGGACTAAACTGCCGCGTCAGATATCCTAAGGTTCAGACATTTACATCCCTAATTTAAAACTCCTGACCAGAGGGACTGCAAAAACCAGCATTATCCTCCGCCACCTCGGCTGTTCTAAAATGAATCGTGAGATTAAATGTTAGGGTTATAATTCTCTCTACAGCTGAACGTGAAGAGCGTGTCCAGTGAAATATCGAGACTCGAACCTTGGGCCTTCTGATCCTTAGTCTATCACTGGTCTACGTTGGGCCAGTATTGTTTAGAATTTAATGCACTTTCTTGCCATATCAGAAACAGTTTGCCAGAGAAAAATCCAATTTTAGGTAATTTAAACTGTTATCTGGTTAAAGTGAAACCTTATACTTTCAACCACCTAGCCCCCCCCCCAGTGGCACAGCGGTATGTCTGCGGACTTGCGACGCTAGAAACCGGGTTTCGGTACCCGTGGTGGGCAGAGCACAGATAGCCCATTGTGTAGCTTTGTGCTTAATTCCAAACAAACAAACAAATCAATCACTTCAAAGGTTTTTATGCCAATTTGTCACCCCTTCTAAAGCCGTCGTTGTGCTACCGAGTAATAATGTGGTGATTCACAGTGAGTTGGTAATCTTAAGATGAGACACACTAATGATTATAGATTATTTAGCACAGTTAGCGAAGGCATTAGAGTGATGTTCTGGTTTCGTACTCGTGGGACTTGTATCGATCTTAATCTTTTAATTATATCCCATTTCCCCACCTTTTAGGATCATGTAATATACTGTCATAATTTGTAGTTCCAAGATGATGTGCATATCTTAGACAAGATTTAGATAATGAAATGGTAATGCAATTTACGACTTTATTTTAGCTTTCTCGGACGGCTAATTATTTCTGCACATCGTAGACGTCATCTTATCAACAGCGCCATCTTCTGTAAGTCTAATATAGTCTAATATTGTAAAGACCACGTAATTAAATGTAGGATTTAAAGGCGTATATTAGAAGCATTCGGATGATTATGAGATTCATTAATTTTTTTAGTTACGCCTAAAATAAGAAGAAAAAATGAGCTTCTTCTCTAATGACAAGATCTTGCTGTTATGGGAGAACAAGAAATAAAAACTTGCCCAATTTCTGAAGCCTTTAACTAGGTTAAAGCCCCAATTTCTGAAGCCTTTATCTAGGTTAAAGCCCCAGTTTCTGAAGCCTTTATCTAGGTTAAAGCCCCAATTTCTGAAGCCTTTATCTAGGTTAAAGCCCCAATTTCTGAAGCCTTTATCTAGGTTAAAGCCCCAATTTCTGAAGCCTTTATCTAGGTTAAAACGAGATACTCATGCAGTGTATGATAAAAACTTTATAAATTTATAGTTCAAATACTAAAATATTCATTTGTTGAAATGATTTAATTAATTAACTAATTAGTTCTTTTAAACAGAAGCGTCATTAAATCTTATGACTTATTTTATCCCAACAGAAGAGAATATAAAACATATTTTTTGATATTATGTTGTTTGAAGCTATTATTTTAAAAGCGTATAACTGTATTTTCCTTTGAGACATACTTTTCCTTAATCATATACTTATTTTGTGTTAATGGTAGGAATATAGAGCTAATTTTCAACTATTGGTCAGAGGGAATGCAGCAGCACCCTACCGGCCATCATCCGTAATAAGGGACTGACTGTTTCTCTAATAACACATGCACGGCTTAAATTGGATGGAAATATTTTGTGGTGTTGCACAGATTCTACCGCAGGGCCAACCCACCTTTTTTTAAAGCGTTATATTAATGAAATAGGTAACATTTTTTTTCAAACTCGGATCAGATTAGAACCCGGGTCATCAAAAGAGCGTTAGTGATAAGAGTAAAGTTCTCTTTTAAATGAAACTAAAGTTGACTCGTACCACCTTGATACCTTTGTAATAGTGTTTAGGGTATGGGTAATCCATATCAGATATACCTCCCCCACTAGCTGAACGGTAATTCTGAGAGCTCAGACCGCTAAAATCCAGGTTTTTCGATACTTGTGGTGGGCCCAGCACAGATAGCTATGGTATAGCTTTGCGCTTAACAACAATAGGACCACGTTTAATTAATTAACTCATTTATGAGAGTAATGACGATCGTTATGAATTATACGCCCGAATTTTGTTCTTTGTAGCTTAAAATGGATATGCATAATTCAAAATACTTTGTTAAAGATGTGAGTAGTTAAACAGGGTTCCGTTTCATCATAATTATATGACGTTTTCTTTAGGGAAAATCCGATAGTTTACACAAAGCATAACTTCGATAATTTGTTGCCACACCTCACAACTAGAAGCTCTCCTCGACTTCGCCAGCTGATACGCACTGCACCTGCGCTAGCTGGAGGTGGCTTTTCCTACTTTGGGCATGGCACATGTTTGACGTTCAGAGTGTTCCGTGTTTGCGACCGACGACGAAAAGACAGGGCTAATACACGCGTATTTTTACAACCAAAAGGATTAGAATGCACTAGTCATTGTGTTCTAATAGTCATGTAGGACTCGAGCACGTGCATCGTTCAGCTCATAGCAACAAGCAGACATTGGAAGCTGATTTCTAAGAGCAGAAGCTAAGAATTTCGGGTCTGTCTGAGCGGCAAATCTGGAAGAGATTACACCAGTTGAGGTCTGTATAAATAATATATAAATATATATATATATATACATTTAGCGAGATAGAGAGAGAGAGAGCCCTCTTGTGTTTGTTTTCAAGTGTGATACAAATATTTAATCCTGACAGTTAATCCAACATGTGAAATGAAGATCTGATAACCTAAAACTATTTGTGATCAATAAGTTAGGAAAGACTAAACAACTACGATTGTTAGTGCGCAGAACTCGGTAAATATATTGGGATTAGCTTTTAGTTTTAACACGTGCAAGTATTAGCCAATAGGCTCCCATTTGTTTTCCTTGTCTTTGATTATATGCTCAAATTAAATGACCTAGTGATTAGGGAACTGTATTCACAATTTGTGGGTTTTGGGATCGAAACCCATCATCAAACATGCTCGTCCTTTCAGCCGTGGGAGCTTGTAATGTGACAGTTAATTGCACAATTCGGTAGTTATAGCAAGAGTTGGCGGTGGATGGGGATGACTAGCTGCCTTTCTTCTGGTCTATCTCTTCAAATTAGGGACAGCTAGCACAGGTAGCTCTTCTAGCAGCTTTGCGCGATATTCAGAACAAATAAATAAACTAAAATTCTAGCTATGTTTTGACGATCAGTTGATCTCGGTGGTTATTTTCTTCTCAAATGTACAATAATCGTCATTAAAACTTTGTTGGTAGTTGAGCACAGAGCTATACAATAAATCATCTGTGCTGTGTCCACCACATTTACTGAAACCCGGTTTTTGGCGTTATAATCCGTCAGACTTACCGCTGTGCCACTAAAACCGTGAGCGTTTAGTAGATCAGTAGCAACACGATGCATACTAATCCATATTATGTATTAGTTCATAAATAAACAATAAAACACGTAGTTCATGAAATAAATGACATACTGGAATTTGTAAAGTAAGTGGATAAATCAGTCGACTTACGACAATTCGTCTCAGATCCGAATATGAGTGAGAAAATAGTTGTTAGTGTTGTACCTCGGGTTTCCACACAGAAACTATAACTGAAAAAACATTAGTAGACTGAAATAAATTAATCTACGATCCTTTCGTTTACGAAAACAGATATTTACGTCCAATTATCAATTCATAAAAAAAAAAAATTAGCTAGTGTTATCGGTACCGTAACTTAATACAACCAGTTTTCTTTTTTTTTAATGCTATCTTATCGGTTTCAGCTTAATTAAAGACGCTTCATTTCTTTTGAAAAAGTGAAGCACTGGCAAAAACAATAAACTACAAAACCATAATGAAATATAAGTAAACGGTAGTACATTTCAAACACTCATCATTTATGTCCCCCGATGGGTGAGCGGTAATTTTGTGGACTTACAACGATAATATCTTGGACTCGATTCCGGGTGAGCGGTAATTTTCTGGACTTACAAACGATAATATCTTGGACTCGATTCCGGGTGAGCGGTAATTTTGTGGACTTACAACGATAATATCTTGGACTAGATTCTGGGTGAGCGGTAATTTTGTGGACTTACAACGATAATATCTTGGACTCGATTCCGGGTGAGCGGTAATTTTGTGGACTTACAACGATAATATCTTGGACTCGATTCTGGGTGAGCGGTAATTTTGTGGACTTACAACGATAATATCTTGGACTCGATTCCGGGTGAGCGGTAATTTTGTGGACTTACAACGATAATATCTTGGACTCGATTCCGGGTGAGCGGTAATTTTCTGGACTTACAACGATAATATCTTGGACTCGATTCTGGGTGAGCGGTAATTTTGTGGACTTACAACGATAATATCTTGAACTCGATTCCGGGTGAGTGGTAATTTTCTGGACTTACAACGATAATATCTTGGACTCGATTCCGGGTGAGCGGTAATTTTGTGGACTTACAAACGACAATATCTTGGACTTCGATTCCGGGTGAGCGGTAATTTTCTGGACTTACAAACGACAATATCTTGGACTCGATTCCGGGTGAGCGGTAATTTTCTGGACTTACAACGATAATATCTTGGACTTGATTCCCCGCGAAGAGCCTAACAAACCTGCGAAAAATTATTCTTTGACGTATATTCTGGTTCACATTGGTTTTGTGTCTTTTGGAACATGCCTGAATGTTTTTTTATTTTTTACCCCCTATGGCTAGGAAACTACTATCAGAGTTGCGCACCTAGAGCACAGACTCAGACTGTACTTCATAGTTTGAGTATATTAGAACTATACAAACTCAGACTGTACTTTATAGTTTGAGTATATTAGAACTATACAAACTCAGACTGTACTTCATAGTTTGAGTATATTAGAACTATACAAACTCAGACTGTACTTTATAGTTTGAGTATATTAGAACTACACAAACTCAGACTGTACTCTACAGTTTGAGTATATTAGAACCAGTTTGCTATGTAACCTGTAGAATTTCCTGATCATCAACAATTATAAGGCTTATCAGAATTCCACTTGCACTTCATTGATTTAAAAAAAAGAACGTTTAAGAATCGCTTAAAACAAAATTATTTCGTTAATCGAATATAGAAAATGTTTTTAATTAGCTGAAATAAAGTACTTTCGTTCGTTTGTAGTTAAGCACAAAGCTACACAATGGGCTATCTGTGCTCTGTCCACCACGGGTATCGAAATCCGGTTTCTAGCGTTGTAAGTCCGCAGACATGGAAATGAAGTTACGTAGAAGTTGTTTTGATATGAAGGATTTTATAGAACTATTTTTTACAAAGTTTATACAATTATTAAAGTGCTCAATATAAAATAGAAATAGCACCGTGCGATATAATTGTAGGTTTGATCCAAATCTTTTAAAAGATAGAAATATTATTCCTGTGCAGTAATTTGAAATGTATCAAACTCTGCTAGAAACTGTTAAAGTAGTAACATTCAAGTAATTTTAGATTTATCAAACACTGCTAGAAACTGTTAAAGTAGTAACATTCAAGTAATTTTAAATTTATCAAACACTGCTAGAAACTGTTAAAGTAGTAACATTCAAGTAATTTTAGATTTATCAAACACTGCTAGAAACTGTTAAAGTAGTAATATTCAAGTAATTTTAAATTTATCAAACACTGCTAGAAACTGTTAAAGTAGTAACATTCAAGTAATTTTTAGCAAATCTAGTGAAACGTACTTGATTATTGAAGCTAATATAAACGTGTGTAATGAAGGTATTTAGTTAAGCCTTAATTAAAAGAGAGACTTATAAAGTAACTCAAATAATAAACAATTGTAACTGCAGATTCTGAAAGGTTGACCTCATAGTTTTTTTTCTGCCCCTTACAGCGACTACACTTACTTCCAGAGGGTTTTTTTTAAAAGCTTGTTCAACAAAAATAGGTTGAACAATGAAACAATGTATCTAGAAAGATCTATACACCAAACTTGCATGGACACTAATAGATAAAAAGGACTTATAAACTTTGCGTGGTTTGGTTATCGCGCAAAGCTACTCGAGGGCTATCTGTGTTAGATTAGAGGGAAAGCAGCTAGTCAACCTCACCCACCTCCAACTCTTGGACTACTCTTTAGCAGCAGATAGTGGGATTGACCATCACATTATAACACTTCCAATGTGAAAAGGCGAGCATGTTCGGGAACGGGATTCGATCCCACGACCTGCAGGTTACCATAACCACCAGATCATGCCAGGCCTCACGTGGCAATAACTTGCATCATCTGTTTCCAGTCTTTCTCACCACTTTTTGCATCCTGACTGAAGCCCAACATCCAATGAATCACTTGATGCTAAGTGCCTTAACAGTCACTGCTCCCGACACTTACTTGCCCCCCCCCCACCCACCACCCGTGGCCTGTGGCTCTCCATTTGGGAACTCATCTTATACATATAGACGCAAGGTATGAACAGTAGGCAACAAATTTTAGCTTGACACAAAGCCAAGTTAGCTACACGTTCCGCTGTTCTTAGGATCTTATCATCACGAGTTCAGCAATTATTCATATAAACATAACTACCTTACTGACCCAGTATAATTTTTGTCTTTCTTTAACGTGAAGTAAATGTAACTTTTTACTGAATTTGTTCGTCACAAGAGAATCTAATGTGATCTAAGTTAGCATTAATAATCGAAAATTATCGTCTTTAAAAATAGCTGCATTTACCTTATTAAGCTACATTTACCTTATTAATTAATAAGGTAAATGTAGCTTAATAAGGTAAATGTAGCGCTTATAAGGTAAATGTAGCTTAATAAGGTAAATGTAGCTTAATAAGGTAAATGTAGCTTAATAAAGTAAATGTAGCTTATAAGGTAAATGTAGCTTAATAAGGTAAATGCAGCTTAATAAGGTAAATGTTGCCCTTATTAAACTGCATTTACCTTATTAAACTACATTTACCTTATTAAGCTACATTTACCTTATTAAACAACATTTACCTTATTAAGCTGCATTTACCTTATTAAGCTACATTTACCTTATTAAGCTACATTTACCTTATTAAGCTACATTTACCTTATAAGCTACATTTACTTTATTAAGCTACATTTACCTTATTAAGCTACATTTACCTTATTAAGCTACATTTACCTTATAAGCTACATTTACTTTATTAAGCTACATTTACCTTATTAAGCTACATTTACTTTATTAAGCTACATTTACCTTATTAAGCTACATTTACCTTATTAAGCTGCATTACCTTATTAAGCTGCATTTACCTTATTAAACTACATTTACCTTATTAAGCTACATTTACCTTATTAAGCTGCATTTACCTTATTAAA